GAATTCAATTCAGTTTTTGTAAAAACTGAAAAAAATTGTAAAAACAGAACAATAAATGTTTTTCATAAAATATTTTCGTTTTTTAAAACGGACAAAATATTTTTTTTCAGTTTATTTAAAAAAACGAAAATATTTTTTCTTTAACAAAAAATGAAAAACGAAAATAAAACGAAATGCTTTAAAAACTGAAAAAAATGAAAAAAAAATATTTTATTAAAAACATATTTTTACAATTTTTTTTTCAGTTTTTACAAAAAAATGCTTTTAAAAAATTGAAAAAAATGAAAAAAATATTTTTTTCATTTTTTTCAGTTTTTACAAAAAAATGCTTTTAAAAAATTGAAAAAAATGAAAAAAATATTTTTTTGTAAAAACTAAATTGTTTTTTANTGCTTTAAAAACTGAAAAAAATGAAAAAAAAAATATTTTATTAAAAACATATTTTTACAATTTTTTTTCAGTTTTTACAAAAAAATGCTTTTAAAAAATTGAAAAAAAATGAAAAAAATATTTTTTTGTAAAAACTAAATTGTTTTTATAAAAACTGAAAAAGAAGACTTTACTAAATTAGGGGACTATTAGTGCGTTAGTTTAAAAAAAATGAAAATATTTTGTAAAATATTTATTTTTTAAATTTTACAAAAAGAATAATAATTATTTTTAATTTAGCATTGACATTACGGTCAAAGGGCATAAGTGAACCAAAAAAGTAGATAGAAGGAAATTTTTAGCTCAATAGATGGATGAAGAGTATTTTTAAACCTTTTCCAATAATTTAGGGGCATTTTGAACCCTTTCGGATAAATAAATGCTGAAACACGGCGGCCAAATATTCAGGAGTAATAAAAAATACCACACCTTTAGACCTAAAAAAAGGAAAAATAGGGTACTATACTGTACATCTAACGATTAACAAGGTTCTAGACAAGTGTAGAACATGTACAACTTGAAGAAGAAAAGAACCATCCAACCTTGTGCTTCTATTTCCTTCCAGAAGCTTCTACCTTTCCTCTATATAATCACCCCAACTTCTGCCATCATTCTCTGCAATCCAAAACTAAAACCCAGTTAAAATACAGCAAATCAAAATCCTATNCAACGCCCCATCAAGGAACTATGTACGTGACGCTAAGGCAATGGCTGCAACACCAGCCGACGTGAAGGAATACCCTAATTCCTATGTTTTCGTTGTGGACATGCCAGGGTTGAAATCCGGAGATATTAAGGTGCAGGTGGAAGATGACAACGTGCTGCTGATCAGTGGAGAAAGGAAGAGAGAAGAAGAGAAAGAAGGGGCTAAGTATATTAGAATGGAGAGAAGGATTGGAAAATTCATGAGGAAATTTTCTCTGCCGGAGAATGCGAATACTGATGCCATTTCTGCTGTTTGTCAAGACGGGGTCTTGACTGTTACTGTCCAGAAGTTGCCTCCTCCAGAGCCCAAGAAACCCAAAACTATCGAGGTCAAAATTGCATGAGATATTAGAGTAGTTAATAATTACTCTGTTTTCTGGACATGGGATTGGGAAATGCTCTGTTTTGATGGTAATAAAATGGTAGAGATCTAGGAGTGGTGGTCTTTCCCTCTGTTTGTCTTTAATATTTCCCATGTTTTTTGAAGTATGATGAAATGTGAAGAACTAAATGTCTAGGTGTGCCATCTCTTCTTGTTTACTGCAGGGGAGATGCTACTACTATCTAGTTTTGTTTCTTCGACTACTATCAATATAGAGAGTGCAATTGTTCCTATCCAATGCATAAGTGCAATTATCTCAATATGGAGAATGCAATTTCTTTTTATCTGAACTCCTTTATGTCTATATTTGACCAAAAAATTGCAAACCCTTCGTTAAACTAATTAATTTTGTGTCATGAGGAATTAAAGATAACAACCTCAGATCTATAAATGACAGTAGTGAGAGGAGATTAAATATGGTGTGCATTCCATGTCTAGACATAATTAACGATGATGGACTATCAAGTAATAAATAGCATTAAATGACATTAAAGTAAATAAGGAGAAAGAGGAGATTAAATATGGTGTGCATTCCATGTCTAGACATAATTAACGATGATGGACTATCAAGTAATAAATAGCATTAAATGACATTAAAGTAAATAAGGAGAAGAATTTACCTAACATTGAATGGGGTGGATAATTCCTTCTTCTGACAAAGATTAATGATAGATAAATAATAGAATATTGGGACCTTTCTCGAATCTGATAGATAAGTGTGAATAATAGACAATCAAATATCTTTACAAAGGTAATGTTTGTATTTTATCTAGAGAGAGTCAGCTTTTCAAAGAGTGTTCTTATCAAACAATATTACATGTCTTTCACTTTATCTCTCTATCTACTTATATGGACATACCCCTAATCAATCCTAAAAGTATAAGTACAATTCTCCTAAAAGATCCTATTACAAAATTAGCTGTTGCTATTGCTCCTAACATTTGACCTAGGCCATCATTGGCTGCCCGGCTATGAAAATTATGTACTAGGTGACCTCGACCAAATTACTTTTCGTAATCTCTCTTCATGTTAAATTTTCTTGAGGCAGATTTTGACCTATACAGTTAGTCCCTTCGCTTATTGAGGTTGACTCTGGACGATCTTGATGAGCGGACTTTGTTAATCACGATTAGAAATTTAGGCGAGTATGTTGAATAGTAACGTTTCAGACGTGATGGCTACGTGGCACTTTGCGAGTCGTCTCTTATAGTCGCGTCGATTCAGAGTGACGTCATGATACCATTTTCCCAATGTATAGTATCGTTTCTTGTGCCTCTGCCATTTCGATACCTGCACTGGGCATTGACAATTTG